ACATATGTATTATATTAAATAAACAGGTTTAGAGCAGTGTTTAACCTACTCATTGGCAATTTATCGACTTCTTATCTTAAAAAGTGACGATGATGAAGCATGACTAAATTTTTTACTCGAGTTCAATTTATAGTGCACCAAGAGATCAATTTTTAAACTCGAGCTTAATCAACAGTTATGAAAAGATGACAATGTAGATCCAACGTATGCTCCTTAAGTGGCGAATATACAGGTCACACAAACAAACTTTCTTTGCAACCCTGTGCTATTATGTCCCCTGATGCATGTTCTTCTATAGTAGCCTCATAATTTCGAGGATTACGATCTCTATTAACAACTATAATCTAGGCACACCATTCTATAAGAGTGTATAGTTGCTGGCGATCGTTGAAGACATGCCTCGTTCTGGACGACCTTCGACCGCTTCCACTGATGAAAATATTTTAAAAAAAAAAGTAAAGAATATGGTGCTTGAAAATCGCCAGACAAGTGTTAGAGAGATGGCAAGAGAGCTCAACAATTCGCGTGACGCGAGTTCGTACGATTGATTTTGGTGAAAATTTTGGAAATGAAACGCGCTCTTGCATGGCTCACGCTGACAATGCTGAATTTTTTTTCAAAAAGTGTACAATTGTGACCGAATTTAAAGAATCAAAAACAATGAATACGATCGATCAACCACCATATTCATGACACCATGTGATTTTTTCTTGTTCCCCAAATTGAAAATGCCGCTTTTTAGAACCCCTTTTCAGTCGATCGAAGAGATAAAACAAAATTCGCTGAAGGAGCTTAAGGCCATCCCAAAAAGTGCTAATGGAAAGCGTTTCGAGGACTGAAAAAACTACTGTGTACTAAATCTGGCGAAGATTGGTTTAAAGGTGACAAAATAAATATTGATGAATAATTAAATATTTTGCGTTTTATTTACAATTTCCTGGTACTTTTTTGTGAGAATGCGTGTCCAAAGAAATGTTAAGTGGACCAATGGAAAGTTCTCGAAGAACACTTCCTCCCCATAATCTCCACCGAACTTTAAAAATTAGAGAAATATTGTAGGAAGCAATTTGATATAGTTCAACTACTCCAAGTAGAGGAAGATTGGGATATGTATTGTAAGATTCTAAGGTTATACAAAACAGTTGTAAGAAAAGCAAACCAGAAGCCGGTGCATAATATTGTATACTTGACTATAGCGGAATGGTATCCAGTGAAGAGCAGTTTTGTCTACTAATGGATAGTCGCCTCCACAGCAACTCCGAAAACCATGCGGTTGAGTACACAGAAGACACGGGAGTATAGATAGTTTCCATTCCTGTAGAGATAGTATCTAAAAGCAACGTTTTCTAGGCCATAAGCAGTTTCAAGCTCTTCAAATCGCTGAGACCTTACGGTAGGTTTCCGGCTGAATAACAGCAATAACAGAGCTACATAATGGTTTAAATACTAATCATTTCCAAAGTGGTACTGCAGTTAAACTATATTATCACGTTCTGAGGGTAAGTCAGGGTAATGCCTTTCAAAATTTCTGATTCACTATATCCTTTTAAAAAAATCCTTTATTTTATTACGAACTCACCTTACTAGCATAGTTATCATATACTTAGAATAATCGCTCTTACCTGAAAGGAAACATAAACAGAAAAATATAAATTATTTATGGTAATTAAAGTAAAATAATTTAAAAATAAATAAAAAAAACTTGCGTTAACTAAAAACTTTTTCAATTAATCATAACAAATTAATTTAGTATTCAACTATTTTTCTTTTTCTGCCCCTTTGAAACAATCAAGAGCATTTGACTGGAATTAATTATTTGACTGATTACTTTTTTCAACTGAATGACTGTGGAAACATATACTAAATTGACTGTAACACACCGACGTTGCATGCCTTGAACGTAGCAAAACGCAAGCGAGAAGCTGTTCAAGCTTAAAGTTGAGTTAAAAGGCGAAAAGTGCTTGCGCCACGAAAATTTTCGAGCTGCATTTGGCATATCCGGTGCTTTAAATCATAAAATACAAATTACCAAAGCAGGCAGCAAATGAACACAGACAACGCTGGTCCTTGATCCACACACATACACACGCACACTGAGAGAGAAACAGTGAGCCACAGTAGGCATCAACGCATAGGCCATAACATAAGCGATATTGGTGAGGCAGCAGAAAGTGGCAATAGTATGGCAACGTTACAAAAACAAAAAACCTACAGTAGGCTAGATTTATTTATATGTTTATGGGTGTATATAAAAAATCGTAAATTTCCCAACGGCATAAAGCTGGGTATGCGCCTGGAGCAGCGGTGCAAAAGCGTAAAATTCTTTTTTCACACGTTTGTTGCCGTTTTTGAGTTGCAAACTCCGCATTCCCACACACACACACACATATAAACATGCCAGCGCAAACCCACTTGTATTTGAATGCAGAAAGTGCGACTGTTGTATATAAATTATATATATTTTTTTATATTTTTGTGCCGAAACGCAGATGAGTTGAATATTTTGCAGACGTGGCTTGCCGCATTTTTGCTTGTTGCATAAGATAGCACGCGAATGCTGGCGCAACTGTGTCTTTTACAGCCAACATACTGTTGATGATACGCCGCGCAGGAGCAGTAGGTAGCGAGGTGTGTGACGGCAGACACTACGCAGTTGCGCTAGTGCAACACAGCCGACAGACATGTGTAGGTGCAATGACAATTCGTGGGCGTTCGGTGAAGTGGAGCGTGAAGTGCATATAAAATAATAAATTTGTGTTGTTGTCGGCATTTAAAGTTTTGTACGTAGCGGCAGAAGCAGTTGGCAGGCATAATTTTGTGATTTTTCGTTATATTGAATTTTTTTGGGGGCAGCGCGGCGTATGAGTAATTTTTAGCACGATGTGCAATATGCATATCTAAATGTCTGCTGTTCCATTTTAAAATTTAGGTTTGAAAGGAAAAGTGACTTTTCCAAGCTAAATTATTTGTTTCGTAGTCAGTCGAGCTTATAATAAAAATGCGCGGTGTCTACGTCAGTAAATAAGAAGATTTTAAAAATATTTCACGTGCAAAAAAATTATATTGAAAAAATTATAATAAGAATTTTAATGGAATGTATATGTTCTGCATGGATAAAACAGTAACAAGAAACATCGGCTGCATGGAAGCTACAATACCCTTCACAGATACATTTCTTATAACATAAAAGCGCGCAAAAAGTTTTTTTGATTTTGGTCGGTCAGTTTGTACGACAGCTATGTATATGCTATAGGCGTCCGATCGAACCGATTTCCTGGGAGATCGGCGAGGTGCTTTAAAAAATAAACCACGACAAATTTCGTTAAAATATATCGTCAAATTAAAAAGTTTTCCATACAAGAATTTTGTTTTGATGGGTAGTTGCCGTTGTTTTAACGGATGCCTAATCCCCGTTGGGATGGTAGGGATTAGCTAAGTTGTGGAGAAAAAAGGTGACCAGTGTCTTGAGAAGACTCATTGCACGTAGTAAAATATATTGGATATTTCGGGGTCTATTCTGGTCACTCTCGTTTCTTGCAGCAACTTGAGCCCTTCGTCTGCAATGGGTTTGACTTCAAGTACGCCATTCACTGAATAGGAATCGGTGAAGATTTTGATTGCTGCACTGTGAATGGCGGTCAGTGCTTGTCGGAAGAGAGTTGCGTTCGAAGTCTGGTTGGCATATTGTCCGATGTCGTGAACATAATTACCGTCTTTATGTTCCTAGGAGGAGGTTACAAACAGTTCTGTTTTTTCGTTATTATGAAGTAGCATTGTGTGAATGACTGTGTTAAAGGCTGTTGACAACTCCAACGCTACGAGGATCGGGTGGTTTCTGGCTAAGGCTACAAACTATCTCAGCCATGCTGGTCCGACTTTCGACACATCGGGTATTTATTTCGAGTAGAGCAGCCAGCGACAGGTTGAGGACCTTCGTGAGGTAACTTACTCCCGTCAAGCTTAGATACTTTAGCATTAGCATGTTGATTCTATCTGGACCAATCCGTTTAGACGATTTCACCTTATTGATGACACTCTGAACCTCCTCATCGGTGAAGGTAAGTGGTGCGCAGTCTTTTGGCATTTTACGCTGCCGTCGGGTAACACATCATTTGGTTTTGTCTACCCCAGGGTGCAGTGTAAATTGCCGGCTAAAATAGCATGCGCTCTTCTTCAGGTCCGAAAAGGCATGGTAATTGAATTGCATTTCAACTCGGTCATCATATCTCTTCGGATTAGAAAAAGCCTTGACAGTAGTCCAAAGCTTACTCACACCGGTGGAGGGGTTACAGAACTTCAAGTGCTCATTTACCGAATCTCCAAATTCAGATCTCTTATTCGTGGGTCACAGGGATCGGCATGACGTAAGGCGTCGCGCTCGTTAACTAAGACAGCAGCATCTTTAAGCCAGGGATGAAGCGCGCGGTAGCTGCTGCAAACACCTTGTGGAGTTGGCGTTCAATGGTGGTTACGCCCCTAGGAATGGATAAAGCAGTGCAGTTGTTCTCAATAAAATCTGTGAAGCCGAACCAGTTAGCTTTGTTAAAGTTAAAGAAGGTATGAAGTTTTTGTTCACCAACTACGCAAGTTTATTTATTAAACACAACGACTGTTATCAATATCAAAACATCGATAAAAAATCATCATCATCAATATTGACTACAAAATTTATCTATTTTCAAATTTCCACAATATGTCTAAAAAGGTTTCCAATATTTTTCATATACTAAAGTTAAGCAAACGTTCATATTTTATTTATTTATTTATATTTTAAAAGCCATAGATGTCGAAACAATTGAGACTTCTATTCCATTTTCCTCATTTAAGCGCACTCTTACACACCGAAAAGGTCATATTATGAACCCTAACGTGCGTCTAGGAGACTTCAGCATTCATCATCATATACTAATGCAGCCGTCAGCAAAATAAGTAAGCATGATTTGCCAAAAACAAATACAACAAGTACTGAGCAAATACACTATTTCACCTAGCAGACAGTCTAGCAAACAGACAGACAAACAAATTTTAAAAAAATATTCTGAGAAACTCAGTGTAGCGCCGATAGTAAAAAGGTACATATAAAAAATTCAACGCGGGTAAGACGAGAAGATGCAGCTCCCAAGCAAGAAGGTGAGCATGAAAAATTACGAAGCTTAACATTTATGACAGACACAACAGTTGTTGTTGTGGTTGTTTCTTTACTTTTGCGTGAAGTCAACTTCGAATGATGGACCACATAAATTTGCAAGCAAACCGACGGCAACATAAGGAAATAGCAAAGGGGGAATGCGATAGAAGAAAGTCATAATCAAACGCTACATACCAAGAATACACGTAATATAACTGTTTTATATCTATTTTTTAATAACTTTTTATTTTCATTTTTGAATGGTGCTGAATCAACAAAAAAAAAAGAAGGTTATGTAGCAGAGAAGACACCACAATAATACACAAGTCAAAAAAGTCCAGAAGCGGCGTCAGACAAGAATATTTTATTCAACAAAAAAAATATGAAAGAGGTAAAAGACAAGTATTTTATTCACTAAAAAAACTTCGAAAGACGTAAGCAATATTCAGCACACCAGAAAATACGCCCACAAAGGTATGCAACAGGAAAGGGGGAAAAAAAGTGACAGTTAAATTGCGCAATTCATATTTATCATTTTACGTAACTTTTCCATAAGCTGTTTTTTAGTTCTCTATGTGGGAAATATACCGACAATGTTTGTGAGAAAGGCTTTTTGCTTATTTGATAACACTGCCTCATTATGCATGCAACTGCATACTTTTAGGCAAAGTAAGTAAAAATCAATGTCCAGAATGAGCTATCAATTCTAGAGACAGTTTTACAAGAGTTTATTTTGGAAATTTTTTTATTAAATAAGAACTCTTATTCCAAGAAGAGGGTCATCATGCATTTCCTTGAGTTATCTACTTATATTTAAGTATTTTAAGGATAGTTTAAAAAAATTTTTGAAGTTAGAGAGCTGAAAAGCCTTCTTGACATCTTAAAAAAGACTTTCTATTACAACTTCGACTTCTAGTGTTGCGTATACTCATGTATAACATTTTTAAATGCTATAGGAAGGTATATATTTATATTATATGTATGTATATTGAGGGTTGAGCATTGAAAGTTGAAACCGTTTTGTTTGTTTTTTTTTTTTTGTTTTGTTTTTGTTTCTCAAAATATTGTCGATCTTTTATGTGTTCTTATGGACATATGAACTACGTGTTATCTGATTTGGACTTACATATTAACCGCTTCATTGTCTGAAAAATCACCTACTCAACTTGATCCGGATTTAATACCCAAAACATTAATCAAAATGTATTATCTGATTTGGACTTACATATTAACCGCTTCATTGTCTGAAAAATCACCTACTCAACTTGATCCGGATTTAATACCCATAACATTAATCAAAATGTATTGAATGGTTCCATAACAGAAGTAAAGTCCTTTTAAGCGTTGTTTCGGTGTTATCATCATTAAAAGAGGTGCAACATTGATTTCGTAACTTCAATGAAAACATAAAATTTCTAGCAAACTCCGTGTTAAATTTTTCTAGTTGTAAGCCTTTTTTTCGCACCATTGTGGAGACCGCGACGCGAAATAATGCGCTCACCAAAAGTATCCTACAACCATGGATTGCCGGCTTCATTTTTGAAGAAATATGGACCAGTGATAGTCGCTGCTCATAGCTCCGGACTTTTTGAGGATATAACGGCGTCTCAACAATGGCTTGCGGATTATCATCACAACAAATGTCACAATACTGTTTGTCAACGTACCTCTTCAACCAAAAGTGCGCTTCATTGTTGAACAAAATTTTCTTGTGAATATAGGCATGGGGCCCATTTTGTTTTGTGCCCATTCACCGAACGTGTCACGCGCTTCAATTTTTGCACGAGTTGGATCCTTACGCAAAATCTTCCATAAAAGGGATAAACACAACTCCAATAGTTGCCAGCGATGGCGGATGAACAAAACGAACGCCAACAAACACAAAGAAATGGGCGGGATGAGATAGATACCGATGGTCGAAGAGAAAATCGAGACGCATTTGCTGACAAAAAAGAGAGATGCGTGAGTGCTAAGAGCTTGACAAGCTGGCCGACAGGGGTAACGAAAATTCTGCGAAAAGATGCGACGACTAACAAAGGTTTTAAGACCGGAACATACTCTTGTAGAACCCCCCGAAATTATGGAGAGAACTTTATTCCAGCCTGCTGAAGGGCAGTGAAAGCATAACATCAGGAGATAGTGAAAATCACAAAAAAAAAAAAAAACGATTCCTCAATCGATGACGATGGATCAAAAGTTCCGTTAAGGAGCATGCATCAGCTTCTTTGTAGAATATGGTCGAACGAAAGCATGTCCGATGATTTTAAATTAAGTGTGCTTCATAGTGTAAGAGAGGCACTACAATCTGCGCCAACTACCGTCTGATAAGCCTCATTAACATCGCATATAAGGTTATATCGAGTGTGATGTGTGAAAGATAAAAGCTCACCGTCAACAAACTGATTAGACCATATCAGTGTGGCTTTAGACCTGGCTTATCAACAACCGACAAGATAATCACCTTGCGCAAAATCTGCGCCAACTACCGTCTGATAAGCCCCATAAACATCGCATATAAGGTTATATCGAGTGTAATGTGTGAAAGATAAAAGCTCACCGTCAACAAACTGCTTAGACCATATCAGTGTGGCTTTAGACCTGGCTTATCAACAACCGACCAGATAATCACCTTGCGCAAAATCTTTGGAAAACCCCTGAAAAAAATATCGGTTGATTTCAAAGCTGCACGAAAAAGAACGGCCCTTCATGCAGCCATTTCGGAATTTGACAGGGCTGAATCGAGAAGATTATTCTGCTTTTTCTAGGTTGAAGAAAGAAGCGAAGCAAATGGGTCTGGTAGTGAAAGAAGGCAAGGCGGAATAGGAATATCTTTTGTCATTAAACAAACAAATATGTCAGCATCGAAATCCAACGCAGAATAACACTTACCAACAGGTGCTACTTCGGACTGTGTAGGCAATTGAGAAGTAAAGGCTTCTCTCAACGAATAAGACAAAATTCTACAAGTCACTCATCTTCTCCGTCCAGCTATATGGTGCAGAGACATGGTCGATGACAATTTCTGATGAGTGGAAAGGTTCTGTGGAAGATTTATGGCAATGGCGAATGACGGAGTCGATGGAACAGATATGCGACGAGATATTGACACAGTAAAGCGAATTAAGGCTTCTCTGGCTAGGTCATGTCGTCCGAATGGATGAAGTATCCATCCAGCTCCGAAAGTATTCGGCATAGTATCCGCCGTAGGAAGCAGAGGAAGAGGAAGACTTTCACTCCCTTAAAAAGACCAGGTGGAGAAGGTCCAGGCTACACAATTTGCGCCAAGCAGCGAAAAGCAAAAGGACTGACACGCTGTTGTACACACAGCTGTAACCATTTACGCGTTTACTACGCATATAAAGAAGAAGAATACGAAAATTCAGTTAAGCCACTAAACCACCAATTTCTTACATAAAATTCTCCAAATTATTAGCTGTGTCGGAAATTAAAACTGAAACTAAAAACTCTACAGAAGCTTACATATCTCAAACTTAATTAATTTTCGCAATATTTCAGTGAGCGCCACTCAAAAATGCAGCTCTGCGCTTTTCCACCCCTCTTTCTTAAAGACCGCTGTGCTTGCTATAAAGCAAATTGACACAATCGCTGGCGAAGCATGCAAGTACCCACGACACTCAATTGAAAAGAATACGTTGCGCGTATGCTCACCTGCAGTGGGTGCTTTGAAAACTTCTGCAGACCGACAGATTTATAATTTATTTATAATGCGTTCAAAGTGGAGTTGCGGCAAACATGCTTGAAAACGCGTGGGAGTAAGCGGGGGGGCCAATGGCATAAAAGCTAAGAAAACAAACTGAAGAGGGATAGTAACTGGTGCATCCCCTAAAAATGGCAGGTAAGTACGCGTAAAAGAATGGCATTACGTATTCACTTAAGTATGTAGGACTGTATGTGTGTGTGTGTGTGTGTACACATGCTCAGAATTTATGTGGACTTAATCTATTTGCAGAGAAATGCGCTCGAAAATGCATACAACGCATAGCCATTTGAGAAGCGTAGCAAAATTGGGGGATCAAACAAGCAACGGCAAACAACGCCGTGAGGTATTTGGGTGAAGTGGGGTGAGGTTAGGTGAAACATGTTACGCGACACGTTACGTGCAGCGTGAAATGTACCGTGCGTACCGCACACATATCATTATTAATGCATTGCTCTCCATTGAATTATATATTTTCGCATTCGCATTTGAGGTGGAAAATGCAAAGCCGTAAAGTGGGGGTTACTCAACCTCACCACACGCCCAGCGGGGCAACACATACGCAATCATCATTTACGGCAAACGTAAAGGATATATTACGTAGCTACATACATACATACAGTATATGGGGGGAAAAGGGGTGCTGCTGAAGTGGCGTAAAAATGCGAAATTGCTAAGTTGGCTGCGCGCTGTGGGCCCTAAACCGTTAGTTGGGGTTCAGTAAACCCACTTATTTTCATTTTATTTATATTATTGTTGTTTTTCATATGCTGTTGGCTCCACGAAGCCCAAGTGCATCGATAACACGGAAAAGCAGTTGGAAAACGGTATAATCGTGTTAAGAGGACAATTGGATATTCATGACGGCAAACAACAAAAATACACACAACAAACAACTGGCCTCTACCCGTTGGCTATGTGGCCAACAAGGGACGCTAGCGCTACGGCATGAGCACAAATACGTTAGTGTTGTTGTTGTATAAAAGTGGATGTATGGCATAAACATTGGGTATAATGGACTGACTACAGTTCGATGTGGACAATATATGATTGGCGGGTCAGTTCATATGTTGAGTTGTAAATTCTATTTGACGGCGGAGGAGTGGGTGTATGGGTGCGCTTCTACGCTTTGCGTGCAATCCCTTTCCCATGTGGGTGTTGTGCGTAGTTTAGTTGTCAATTGATTGTTTTGAAAATGTGTTGGACAACGGACATTGAACACGAAATTGTTTGCGTCCACATAAAGAGTAAAATAAAATACGCTTTTGTATTGTTCGATGATGATGACATGTGTGTAGCGCAAGATAGGAAAAATTGATAGCACACTTCAAATACAGGTGTGTACATATTAATGGAAACAAAATATACACTTTCCAAACTTTGATAGAGAGTAAGTAACACATAAGGAATCCATAATGCAGTGACGGAATGGAGCACTCATAACGGCATTTTCTTCTCGAACATACCACTGAGGCATATGCAGGTGGGGTGAAGTCGCTGGAGAAGAGACGCAGTAAGCTTTTACAGCGATTGATCGAAGCTCAAGGGGCCGATAGCCGAGCTGCTATACAGACCTTGAGCTCGCTGACAGTGAGAGTGTCTGACCATAGCGGAATCGTTGGAAACTGTAAATCTGATAAGCTCGCTAGCACAAATCCTATTAAGATGGGAACGAACAGGTGTCCCCCTGTCTTTGTGCATTCGGACGCGGCATCTATAGGCCTTGCGCGAACTCAGTACCACTTGGTCAGCAACCAGCATTTGTGGTGTTGCGAAAGCC